AGCTCAGCCCTCAGTTCCATCTCTGGGTCTGGATGAAGATCAGCACTTGCACTTGCCCGGTGTCATAGGTAAACCTGTGGCTCAGGAGCTTATGATATCTAGAGAGGCAGGGGAGGGGGGGGGAACAACCCCAGGCAGGTAAGGGGGTTGAACCTACTCCAAACCAGGAGCAGGCCCCAGCTCAGCCTGCAGAGGGCCCCGAGGGTGTGGAAGCTGCAATCCAACAGGAGGCACCAGCTCAGTTTCCAGACATTCCTCTGGAGGCTGAACCTCTTTCTCTGCAAGAGCAGTTGGCTGAGTCTCCTGAGGAGGCTGAAACTTCAGTCCTGCAGCAGGCCTCATCTCAGTCTCCACAGAATAATAAACCCACAGTTATACCACCAGGTCACAGTCAAGATCATCATTCAGTCTTGACGAATGTCCTTAAACCTGTGGGTCTGGAGTTTACCACAATACAGCCTGCTGATGTGGTGGGAACTTCTTCAATCCACCATGAGGATGCATCTCAGCCCTTAGTGCCAGTTAGTAATGAAGAACTTTCTGGAACCCAGCATGAGGTCCCAACTCTGGCTGTAGAACCTCCCGAGGCACTTGAACCTTTTCCAGTTCAACAGGAGGCTGTCAATCAATCTCCAGAACCTGCTAGAGATGAAAAACCATCTCCAGCCCAGCAAGAGGCCACAGCTGAGCAATCACAGGCTCCAGAGGAGATTGAAGCTTCTCTAACTGAAACTTCGCTAGCAGAGCAGGAAGCCCCAATTGAACTTTCACAGGCCATTGAAGTCAAGCCCTTTGTAAGTCATCAGAAGGCCCCAGTTCAGCTTCCAGCATCTCCTATGGAATATACCACATATCCTTTCCTTAATGATGAGATAACATTTTCACCTCTACCTCTGCATAAAACTCAGCATCCCATGGTGCCTAACACCAAAGTTAAACATGTGGCACTGGGGCTGGTAACTCCAGAACCCACTACAGAGGTTGAATATTCTTCAGTCCAGCAGGAAGACCTTATTCAGCCTCTAATTGCCACTGGGCAGGTTGAATTTCCTCCAACCCAGTCTAATCTTCTTTCCCAGCCTCCAGAACCCCATATAAAGTTTGAGTATTTTCCAGCCCATCAAGAGGCCATAGCTCAGGCTCCAGATACATTTAAGAAGGTAGAACCTTCTCCAGACCAGTTGGCAGAGCCTTCTTCGGCCTATCAAGAGGCCCCTCCTCAGCTTCTAAGGCCCCCTAATGAGCTAAAACCCTCTTCAGTCAAGCAGGCGGCCCCTGTTCAGTCTCCAGAGTCCCTTATGATGGTAGAACCTTCTCTGGCTCAGCAGAGGGCCCCATCTCTACCTCCAGAGCTCCGTGAGGAGATGGAATCACTTCCAACCCAGCAGGACATCACAGCTCTTCCCCCAGAACCACTTAAGAGGGTGAAATCTGCTCCAGTCAAACAAACGACCCCAAGTCAACTTTCAGAGCCACGTAAGGTGGTTGCAGCTGAAAGTCCAGCATCTTATGAGATGACAGTTCCAACATCAGGTCATCAAACTCAATCTCCAACACTGCCCAGTGTTGGATTTCAGCCTTTGGATCTGATGGTTACCATAACTCAAGAACCTACTATAAGGGTTGAACATTCTACAACCTTGAAGACTACAACTCGACATCCAAACCTGGTTCAGACTCAGTATCCAAACCTAAATGAAGTCACAGTTCAACCTGTGGATGTGGAAGTCACAATAACTTCACAGCCTACTACAGAGGATGAACTTGCTCCAGCCCTGCAGGAGACCCCAACTCAAACTGCTACAGAGGGTTTTGTACCTCGACCCACAGTATATCAAGAGGTGACAGTTCCAACAACACCAAGTCAGGGTCAATCTCAGTATCCAACATCACCTGGTGTCACACCTGAACATTTGGACCTGGGACTTACAGTTACTCCTGAACTCAGTATGGAGGCTGAACATTCTACAGGGTTGAAGGAAACTACGGCTCCTCCAAAGTACCCTGAGGTGGCACTTCCACATTCAGGTGGGGTTCAGGTTCAGAATCCAAACCTGACTGAAGTCACCATAACTCCACAACCTACTACAGAGGATCAACTTGCTACACCCATGCAGGAGACCCCACAACCTCCAACGGTAATTATTGTAACTCAACCCTCAGTAAATCAGGAGGTAACAGTACCAACAACACCAAGTCAGGGCCAATCCCAGTATCTAACCTCACCCAGTGTCACAACTGCACATTTGGACCTGGGACTTACCATAAGTCCAGAATCCAGTACAGAGCTTGAACCTTCTCCAGTCATGGAAGACACCCTAACGCAGCCTTCAGAACCTTCTAAGGAGTCTGAATCTCAGCCTGCAGCATATTATGAAACAATAATCCCAACATCAGCTCAAGATCAATCGCAGCATTCAGCATCTTCCACCATCACAGTTCAACCTTTTGACCTAGCACTTACTATAACTCCAGAATCTACTCTGGAATTTAAACATCCTTCAGCCGTGAAGAAGACTGTAGCTGCATCTAAGGAGGTTGAATCTCAATCTCCAGTATATTATGAAATAGTCCCAACATCAGCTCAAGATCAAGCTCAGCATCCAGTGTCGTCCAGCGCCACAGGTCAACCTTTGGACTTAGTGCTTACCATAACTGCAGGGATTAAACATCCTACAACCCTGCCAAAGACTGTAACTCCATATCTACACCAGGTTCATACTCAGCGTCCAACCCTACCCCAAGACACATCTCACCCTTTGAATCTGGAAATTACTACAAATCAGCCACCACGGTCTTCTGAGTCAGTTAGTCTGTCTTCAAAAACTCTGATGATGACTTCTAGAATGGATTTAAATGCGCAACCAGAACTGATCACCACTGTGAATGGCAACCTGTGTGATCTCTGTAGCTGCATAAATGAGACATTGTCATGTGTGGGTCTCAACTCAAAGCAGAAGCTCCAGCAAGTGCCTGTGCCAGACCCCAGCATTCACAATGACACCTTCACCGTCTTGTAAGTATCAGTTTTCCTCATTTGTTCTCATCCTGCCTGACCTGGCAGCAATTTCCTCTATGTCTTCCTGGCCCTTCCTCATCTTCCCAACCTATGTTGACTGACTTTCTGTTTTTACCTTTTGATTGTCACCGTTTCTTTATCTTCATTCATTTTACCGCTGTGCCCCTTCTAGTCTATTTCCTGTGATTGCCCTTAATCTTACTCAATTTTTATTTAGCCCCATGTTATTGTTTCTTAACGACCTCTGTTCTTCTCCCATGTTTGCTTTACAGCAGCTTCTCCCTCTCCCCATCTCATTAGTGATAATAGCACAGAGGGGTTAAGAGTGCGTTTTGGAGTCAAATTGCCTCCAGGAGTTGGAACCCATGCATGCCATTTATTAGTTTTGTGACTTTGGGCAAGTTATTTAACTCTTTGACTCAGTTTCTTTAACGATAAAGTGGGAATTGTAGTTACCATTCCATAGGATTGTTGTGAAATTTAGAAGAGTGAATATATGTAATTCGTATATCTCCGTCTGCTTACACATGAATGTTAGCTATCAATATAGTTATTATTCAGTCCCTCAGTTATATCCAGAACTCATCTCTGTCCCTGCTTTTCTATATATAGCACCCACTTTGTGTCCAGAGATAAGTACTGAGAGCCACAGATGTATGACATTGTCTCTAGAACGTGAAGATGATAGGAGTGAAAAGGAGAGTAAACATAAAAAGGGGAGAGGTATGATATATAATTAAGAAAAAAGGGATGTAGACCATGGGCGCTGTAACTCCTCAGACTGTGTAAGCACTGCCATGTGTGGTGGTCAGGGAAAGCCTGATGAGCTAAACTTTTACCTGGGCTTTGAAAAGTGCCTTTGGGGCCAGTCAGTGGTAAGGTTGTTAAGGTGCTAGACTCTCACATTGCCTGCCACGGTTTGAGTTCTAGATTTGATGACTTGAAAATCATATGTGGCACGTGTGTGTGTGTGTGTGTGTGTGTGTGTTTGTGTTTATGTGTGGGCCCAAAACCCTGGAGGAGAATGGAGAAGGATGGCCATCCCTCCGAGAGGTGATTTCTCACTTCCCCTCTCACCATCTCTTTCTTTCTTTCCCCAGCAAACACATGCAACCTATGTCAAAGACCTAAAATTTAAAAAAAATAAAAAATAAAAAAGAGTGTCTATCATTTGTTAAAAAAATTTCGGAGAACATCGTAGGCAAGGGCGTGGCCACAGGAATAATCAGGACTAGACAGATCAGTTTGGTTCCCAATAATTGGGTTGGGGAGCAATATAAGATATGATTATTAAAACCTTGAATATTAACTATAGAGGTTTGAAAGTTATCCAATGAGCTAGGAAGAGCCATTGAAAGTTTTCAAGCCCTGCCACCTGTAAGATAACCCATTACTGTTTGTGTGTGTCCTTCCGATCTCTGTCCTTTGCATTTGTTTCTAATGAGATAATACGTTAATTTTATTCAGTAATTTTCTTTACTTCCTTTGCAACATGTCTAAGATCTTTCCATGTCAACACATCTAGTTTCTAATCAACCTTAGAAACCCTACTGCTTTTTTTAAATTTTTATTTTTTAGGAGCTTTTTGCCTTAGGGTGCATGCACTCACTAGAGACAATGAGAAGAAAAGTGAGAAATCAACCCCCAGGGGGGTTGGCCACATAGCTGTCCCTTGTCCTCCATTCTTCCCAGATCTTGAGCACACATGCACATGTGTTCAGCATGATTTTCTTCTTCTTCTTTAGTTTATTTCCAAGAGAGATTTTTGCTATAGGGCACATGTGCTTGCCAAAGAGACAGAGAGAGAGAGAGAAACAGAAAGTGAGAAATCACCCTCCTCAGGTGATGGCCAGGCCACAATCCCTTCTCCTCCATTATCCAGTTAGGATCTTGGGCATGCATGCACACTTGCCCGGCATATGTTTTAAGCCGTCTGGTCTGGGACTTAAACGGCCGTCAACTATGTGAGTCCAGTGAGGTAAGTATTATGCCATTTGCTGGTCCAAACATCCAGCATGGTTTT